TTGTAATCACACCGTAGAAGAAAAATACTCTTTAATATATATATTTTTATATAAACACTTATTAATCTTATATGTTGCCCTGTACTTGTAATAGAACAATTTGAGTTACATACATTTTCACTGAATTATCATATAATCATGTGACTAAGGTAACCGAAGAGTAAGTTAATTTTAAACATATACATTGCACCCACAATATCAATTTTGTCCTGAACTAAAATCGAGCCATGTTGCATTAACCCAGAAAGTCTTGTTATGTTAGTTTGTTTGGGGTTTTATTGCACTACTTGTCATATCCACCTAATCTAACTTTCCTGGATAACTAACCAGTATATACCAATTTCTCTGCAAGTGTCCCACATGATTTCTGAATTAGCGGTAAGAGAAAAATGACCATGTAGACTCAATATCCGCGATTAAATGCCACGTAGAAATCTTGCCTAACCATGCCGCCACTCAAATAAATATTGATTAATTAAATATTTTAAAATGTGTACATAACAAATAATGTTCCTTTACTAGCATTATTTGCATATGATTCCCTTGCCACATATACAACCATTCAATATTAAAACAGACTTTAATATGAACTTCTTAAAAAACTTGTATAGTATATTAAATTAGGTATATTGGTTGGACAGGGAAATCTAACAATCATATAGTACTATCAAATTATCAATTCACATGGATAAAATACTACATTTTCAAGTAAATATACATGCTTTCTTATGGTCATCAATTACAAGAAAATCCATTATAAAAACAAATATGTCAAATACTTTTACGGCCTGAAATTTTAGTGTTTGTTATTTTACAGTAAACGGTACAGTAAACGGAGAGTTCGGTCAAGACCCCACACGGTAGTAGAATATGTGAAAAGTTTTATATATTAAAAAATGATGATTGGTTACGTAATAAAAATGAAATTTGTGCTAGTATAGTTTTTTCCTGTTTCCAGAACTGTCTATTAGTATATCAAAATTGTTCATGATAAAAGAATTGATCAGCTTAACATTTTCAGCTCTGGTTTCATGTCATAAATGTTCAAGCTGGATTTACAATACATTTTCGAGAAACTTTAAGATAGACGCACATAGCTTTGAAAATAAAAATGATTTCAGAAAAGTGTTTGTTTTCAAGTATTTAGTTCATCATTTCTATTAACACTAAAATTCGCATGTCTTGGCAATGATAATGTATTATGTTTTTTAATTGAGCAATAATTGCTGATGTTTTATACATACATAGTGTATTTTAAAAAATAAATCCCGTCGGATCATCTACATGTAATGGAAATTTAATCGCATTTAGGACAGAAAACTAAGTTAAATTATGCTTTTTTAAAGTAATTAATGGAGAAAATTGTTAGACAACAGAAATATTAGTATGCTGCATTAAAAAATAATTAAAAAAAAAAAACAAGCATTGACTTTTGTTGCTAAGTTCAGATGAATATAATTGACCATTTGTTTTATCGTACACTGACTATATGGTATTACATATAATACATAAATTATACTAAAATAAAAATCTGGCAGAGAGGTAGCAGTGAAACAACAATATTATATGAAAATTACAATGGGATATAATGTGAAAGAGCAACATTTCTCACGCTAAATAAGTCATCACAACAACACCGTTATAATTATGTTGTTTTTATTGTTTTTGTCTCTCTTGAACCAAAGCAACGACATATAAACAAAACTAGTTACCCTTATTATAGTTATTAGCAAGAATGCTGATGACCTATTGTACAGTTTATCTTTACATGCCCATTTATAACTATTAACAAAATTTTGTTATCGTTTTCGCGTTAATTTCTTCAATGTTTCTTATCACTAATCTAGCGGCTGACTGTAATTAAAGTCCCGAACAGACTGCGAGGTTCTTAAATCATAGGTAGACCTCATAAATGACTAGAATATGTGCTGTTAATGACTTTTTTACATCGGAACATAAAACACATTAAAAATTCAACGGTAATGGTTGGTTGTTTATGGCATGGGTTGTGTAGTAAATCAACAACACTGTATCTGGCTTTCGCGTTTGAAAAAATAAAAGCATGATAAATAAATAAAAGAAGAATAAATGGTATTGCTTAATTGTGGATTGTGAAAATAAATGATAGCATCAATTGTTTCAGATAAAATTTGATGTCATATTTCACAAGATGTAAGATTTTGAACCAGTGCCCCTTACACCACCAACACCACTACACACGCATCACACCCGAAAAGCTTTGTACTGGGGAAGGGAGTTGAGTAGTTTTGGGGTTAAATATACTGCTTGTGTCCCATATAAAGCTATTCGTTTCCAGGACTCTTTAACTATGATGAAATATATACACCAATGTACGTGTTGTTTGTGAGAAAAGTCATTGATATACTTAGATCTAACTATTAATTAACAAATAAAAGTCAACACATGGTGGAAGCGTGACTGAGTGGTAAAAATGTCGGACGAGTAATCTAAGGATTGTTGGCCATACCCGTAAGGGACAAGCCGTAAGAGCAAGAAACTTTACATTCATTGCTTAGTAGGAACGGATTCGGGAGTGCTAATAGCTTTCAACACAATCGAATTAAAGAGATTCTTCATGTAAAGCAAAAAAAAGAAGATAATAATAGTAATAATAATAATTCACAGAAAGCACGTAATCTATTGGTTATAGTATATTGCACCCTTGGCAAGAAAATGTGAGGGGATATTTTATGTTGCATGTCTTCTAATTCTCACGATAGAATAATCAATGAGCCGAATTATCTAAAAATAAAATCTCGGCATTAATTTAGATAAAATCACATTTCTACATAAAGAAAAAATATAAAAATGTAAATGAGCAGTGTGATTGATTTATTTCAACATTCAGCTGTCAATTTGGAACAAAAGTAAAAATGATTTTTCGAAAAAAAAATACAAAAAAACATAGCATACGTAGTTAATTGTCAGTTAATTCACATGCCATTTCTGACTTATTCCATCGAATATTGCGCCCCCAAAATTGTTGCCTTAACTTGGCGGATATGAGTTTCTTTGTTTGCGGTCTTGTTGTTGTTGTTGTTGTGACAAGGCGTTACTTCTGATCGATTTCATTTTTGGCTGAACTCTATATATCGTTGAGGGACATGATTCGAAACGCCATTAATGAATGAATGATAATGGCATAGAATTCACCAAAATGTTGAGAAAAAAAATTAAATGCACTGTTAAGACCATTTTATTCTAAAGGCCGTATTAAGTTTAAGAAATGAATATATTTATTAACTTTTTTGTAGAAAGAGCAAACATGTATTTTATGATGTTATAGTAATAAATTATGAACTTGAATGTTGCTTTTCACCTGTAGAAAATAGAGATGAATGTGAAATAAGTATACTGGCTTCCATACAAACTACTAAACCACTGTAACTGTACCAATTGACAAAATATAAGACACCAAAAAGCAATAACAATATTAACATTCTAAGGGCTAATAATGGACCAACTAAATATAATCCAAGACGTAAAATACTAGTACACGTATCATATATACATATAAATATTTAATGCACTGAATGTACTTTTTTCACCAGAAGAAGTTGTGCTTTAGAAAATGACCTTTTGGGGGCTTGTCTCAGGTTTTTAGCCTGACTAAATGCAAATAGTTATGGTTAATATTTTCAATGTTGAACTTTTAAGAAAATGGATATAAAGTATTGAGGTATCAAAAACTTGTGTTTTTTTCTCTTTGTAGCACTGTTAAATGTTAAACGGCATTTCATTATTTAGTGTTCATTTTTCTAAATGTAGAAATCGTACAGTGTTTCACGCATTTTAAAATAGATATACATTATATAAACGAAAACAAAATAGCATGACTTCAATTTTTACTGAGAAGACACAATAAAAGAAATTGTAACAATAAAGATACGACATTCATTTATGAAAAAAAATATACAAAAAGAAGATGCAAAAAAATGAGAGAAAAAAGAAACAGAAAATATAATGGTCGTTGACACGAAATACAGAAATACTACATAGAGATGTAAATGACATTATTCAATAGTGGGACAGTAGGTTATAACTTGTCTCGTATTCATTGTCACATTATTCACAGTCAAGGTGATAAATTCCTAATGAATTAATTACACAGCCACACACGAATTCAGTTACATATTAAAGCGTGTAAAAACGGCGTGGGGCGTCTTAAAATATGATTTATATGCACGTTTTCCCATGCGCTAACTGACTTTCCATATCATTTATTAACCAACATCAACCTTGTCCTTAAATGTAATATAATTTTACTTAGTTGAAAAAAGAAAAACAAATAATCAAAAACAAGTGCACGTATCATATCTTACAAGTTATTAGATAAAAGAATAAAAACAACACAAAAAGCACAAAAAGCAAAACAAAACAAAAATCTACAAATTATTATTCAGATAAGTATACAATTGATTATTTATTATTTATTATTGTTTATTCTTATTTGTGAAGTTAAGATTAATTAAATCACAAACTACATTGATATTACATTGAAATTACATTGAAAACGGTATTAATTATTATGCTTCTTGTAGTCATTTCATTATTTTATGGACAAATTTCTGATCTACGTTTGCATGAATATCAAGAAACGTTTACACACAAAATAATGTGTATTAAATGGCCTACGACATTAGTGGAAAATAAATATTTTACTAATATTAAACGAAATCGCACAAAATTGGAATTGGTTACCTATATTTTAGTCGTTACAGAGAAATAAACAATCCCTAAAGAACGCACAAAACGATTAAATTGTAAATGTTGCAGGCTCGGTTTGATTGAGCCTGTTCCTGGGCGGTAATGGAAAGTGCAAGTTACCGTCCAAGCCTCCTAGCACCGGTTTTAAGCAGAATTGAACAGTTAATGATGGTTATGGTAAAATTTTCGAATTTAGAAACATCCACAGATGTTATTAAGTTTTGTTGAGTGTATAAACCGGAAATGTATACTTTTCATTATTTTCGTTTCAGACATGGCCGTTTAGTTTTCAAGGCAAAGTGGAACATAATGGTTTCTCACATATGGATAATGGTAAAAGTGATAAAGACTCTAGCAGTGCGATGTCAGAGGATCAAAACTTAGACGACCTTGTTACTGGATCGCCGTAGAATAATTTAATAGCCGCAGAATGTCATTTGGATCATTTTAATTTCGTTGAGTGACTTGGACTATCGTTGAGTAAATTATTCGAATTTTTACCGGAAAGTGAATTTTGCTGATGTCATTGTTAACTATTATCACAATGCAACTCATGATACTAGATTTTGTGATAGTGGTACACAGAGAACGATTAGAGGATAACATTGTTATTCTATATGGAAATTTTGTATTTAAATCATATTATAGAAATATCTAAATGCGATGACATTTTGCACTCTTTTACTTTGATCGGTCGGTGTCATTTATACTCTACAGCAAACATACTGGATGACATTATGTTTCAACTGATTAAGATTTTATTCTAAATTTGTGCAGACTGAAAACATTTCCAAAGATGGCAATGTTCGAAATTAGTATTCATTAGTAATCTTCGGTTGCCATTCTTCCGCTTTTACAAGATAAAAAATGAAAAAACAAACTGTGTAACAGTTCATTGTGTGAGCTTTTGGTTTTATATGAGATGTATATAATGTACTATATGTTTCGGATAATTCTTAATGTGGACATGTAGAAATATTTCTCTGAAGGAAATATATATACAAAGAATTCATCGCTGTCTAAGGATATATAATATGTCAAATTTTGACCTCTCGAGAAGAGAATAAATCTTTTCTCCTTTTCAACCATAAATCTTGCTTTCCACTAAACTTCAAACGGTGTAACTGTAAAGACAACATTTGTGTGAAAATTAGTATAAATTTGACGTAAAGTCCCGAACGGTTATGTTTGCAACAAGGTCTTATGCCGGAATTAAAAACCAATATGTGCCAAAGTGTAGAGATGTTGTAATAAATAATATATGACAGGTTGTTCATATGAGAAAAATAAATTTGTTTGTAATGAATCTTGTTGTCGCTTAACCTTTGTGTTATAGTCATATTTTCTACGGTATAGAATAAATACATAATTTTGCTAGTTAATTAATTGCGCATGTACTCTGGACTCATTTGTCAGTTATTTGCTAGACTTTAGAATGAAATTACAGTATTTATATTCTGTAAATATACATAGTTTATGATTACATGAACATAAAGATCGTTGAAATAAAGGTATGAAAAGTGATAATTATTACATATAAGCTTGCATAGTCTATACAGTATCCAATGAAAATTATCATTATTGCCAGATAAAAATTGAACACTGAGACAAAATTTAATTAAATTGCAATTTAGGAAGTTTGTCTACGTTGTCTTATAACGTGCAAAGTAGTGTATGGTGAATACCGTAAGAAAAAGACTTCTCAAATATATAAATTTCATAATTGTTGAATAAAAAGAATACACATGTTTCACCAACTATCATCAGCATATATATACGAATGCGTAACAATGGTAACAATTTGGATGCTTTGACGTCATAATGATATAATGATTCCCCCTCCCCCACCCTTCCCCCATCCGGAAAACAACAAGTAGTGCAAAACACGTACCGGTAGGTACTGGTAAGAATTACTTGAATACATAATTTCTGTACTAATTTTGAAAGTTTACGTTAATGTGACAGATATTAGCAATTAGCATTGTATTTCAAAATTGCGACTTAAAAGTGACGTTATTACTTACAACAAAAGTCTTCCTCCACAAGTAAAATCATCACGTGACATTTACAGTACCGGTGTGTCTTAAGTCCCAGCCAGCCAACCAACCAACTAACCAACCAACTAACCAACACACCAACCAAAAAGCATCAAAATATACATAAAAAGAAAAAAATGACGCAGAAAGTCAGAAACCGTTGGCAGTTTTTACTGAAAATTTCAGGTCCTATAATACTCATGTTTGACAACTCATCCCGAAGACTTGCTTGTGTTTTTATTTGTTTGGGTCGTCAGACCAAAAAAATAATGGTAGCGAAATTTCAGACCCAGATGTTCTTATTTGCAAATACCGAAAGTAGTCCAAACTCCTCGAAGCGGTTACTCCCTTCATATGTACATTAACGCCGAAAAATTTAGTGAAGATCACTGCGTAAAGATTGTCAAATGACAGGCCCATTAATTTTTGTAACGAAAAAATAGTTCCCGACTGGTCGAAGATTTCTAATATTGTGTTATTCTTATATATACATGCTTATATTCAGCTCCATGATTATTTACTTCAGTATTACACAACAGGTTAACCGTGAACAAAATATATCGAAATAAATAAGGGTTACAAACTCTAATTTAGAATTATATGATATTCTTCAGGCTGTTATCTTATAACTCCCCAAGGTCGAGGGGTTTACACGCTCGCTTTGGAAGCGAGAGGTCTGGAGTTCAAATCCCAGTTCAGGCAACTCATGTTTATTATTATTTATTTATTTAATTATTCCTTTATTTATTTATTTATTTATTTTATTAATTGTTTAAGCCAAATAAACATTGAATTGAATATCAGTGTTGCAATTAGTCATATAGCCAATTTACTATAGTTATAACACTTGAAACAGCATTGGTGACACTATATTTATAATCTCACAACCTTCACCTTTCTGACATTCTGAGACCCAAACAAATTCAGCGCCTTAAGTGCTTGGATTATGATAATGCAAAGGATTCATAAATTATTCGCTTCTAGGGGAAACTACCATTTCTTTAATGCGCAAGTTTTGCCCGCAAGGCGTGCGAGATGTCATTGTCATTTTCGCGCCTTTTGTTACATGAATCTTTTTTATCCGCAAGTTCCTGTAAAACTGCTCCATATAATCATAAAAAAATTTTATTCACAAGTGGAAATTGAACTTGTATAATTCTTTTATACATGTACCAGAGATACCCGGAATTAAACAATAAATTCAATAATATTAATTAAAAGTTCATATAACAAACACTATATCAATGGGTAATATATCCATTTTACAAGGAATAAAAAATTATAACAATTAAACACATTATGCCTACCACGTGTGTATCTAAGAAAACATAGTCATACGGCGCTGACGTCAAAACATACTAAAATATTTTCAAAATATTTGCCGCTGTACGCAATTCAAGGTCGATGCTGTATAACCCATTGGGTGGATACTTATAGTCTTACATTATAAAGAGGCATTTTTGTTGGTAAAAGGCCGGATACCATTCACCGTAAGTGTAATAACAACTCAAATCTGTGACTATTGAACTGTTGTTTGATTTTATTGCGGAGGGGGATAAAGAAATCATAAGCATCTTAAAGTTGAAGGCATAAATATGTTTTCATATCTTTATATTATTTAATTAGATAAAAATGTGCATGGTAAAATCAGGTGTTAAAAACAAAATAAAAATTTACGAAAATAATTAAAGATATAGCACGGATTTGTAATATAAATCCGTGGATATATATATATAAATATATATAATATAAATCCGTGGATATATAAACAATAAATACATAAGACAAATATTAGATATATGCAATTCACCAATTAGAATTTATTTTAAAAAATCGCATGAAATTTTTTTCAAGGCCGCACATGACAATTTATCTCTTCCAAGCGCCACAACGACGGAGAACGTTAACGTCATGTGCATTCTTCTATCCCGCCAAAGATTAGCCCAACAGTCTGAAAGAAAAAAAAACGTCTACATAAACTTGGTTACACAATAATCCAATGTTCAAATGACGTGAAATTTTAGCATGTCATTTTGGGGGTTAAACGACAATCTCCGACAAATTTTGGACAAAAGCCATTTTTCTATCAGGAACTTTGCTGTACTTTGAATTTCAACAAACTGTGAGCTGCGGCGTTTTTACATTTCCGTGGTCCTGAGACAGTACTGTTTCAGTTATGTTTTGAAGTTAAATAGATATAACATCAAACTTTGCGCAGGTATAAATTTAACGAAGAAAACATAAAAAATTATAAACACTTCCGGGTAATTCTGGATCATCCCACATAAATATAATTGAGCAAAGCACAATGTATAAAAATATACATAAATACTTACAAATCTTTTAAGTGTGCTCATAATAAATATCTCATAATGTGAATCAACGTTGACCCTACTAGGCTGGAATTTTCAATAATTACAGTTAAGAGACATGCAATGATATTCCATTTATTTAATTTTATAACAAACACAAATCTAACATAGATGCCCAATAAATGTGATGGTGTGTAAAAAGTAAATGTCGTAAAATTACTACATCTGTGATCTCTATTCTAAATCTACAAATGCCTACTTTAACTTTAATAACAACATGGCAATTTGACGTACATTTAATTTTTGGGTAGAATTGACCTTAAATGTATTTGGCTAGTTACTGGGCGATGGTCTGTTGAACAGTGAATTTCAGGTATACTCTTGTCAATAACAATGTGTTCATTTAACGATCATAACCAATATTACAGTTTTATCAATGTATTAAGAACAGCATATGATTGCAGTTTATACAGCATTTCTTACAAGCACACAGCGAGAGCGTCAATAATTTTTATAAACATTTATAAACAGTATCAACGTAATGTTATATTACCAAAAATCTCAGGACACAAATGTGATAGATGCCATACGGGGTAAAAATGAACCTCATAAGAAGTTTTGGTGCAGTACCACAAACTACTGCTTACGAATATTCGAAAATTGCCCAATAGTGAATAAATCTACCCCAATATTATGAAAAAAGATTGGGTCACATCCATGCGACAACGCTGCCGGTTGTAATAAATGGTCAGGGTGGGTATAAGATATTAGAATAAATTTCAATGATATATTCATTTTGCGGTATTGACTAATGACGCATGGGCATGTTGAGCAAATTTGAGTTTCTGTATATATTGAAAATTTCAGCATGGTAGTACCAAAATTAACACATATGTGACCATTTATACATGCACACTTATAAGATTTGTTAAATTTTATTTACAATCATGCAATCATACCAAAGTTTGCTATTATAAAATATAATATAAATTGAGGATGAACCTGTTCTAGTTGTGAAGTTTTGAAGCTTGAATAAGTTTGTTATGACCCTTGTTAATTCTTATTACAATATTGTTTTATATATCACAGGTAGAAAATGAATGGTCCATTTAACACTGTGAAGAAATACGTCTACAGTTTATACAGTTTGAATTCTGTTGATACATTGATGGGAAGTAAAAGATGCTCGTAATCACAATTATCCGTGCACATTGTGATATTGGTTTACAGTAATGACACAGTGATTCCGCTTCTACTTTATGTTTAAAGGCACATGCTGCCTCAGAAATTCATATCTTTTTTATTTCTTAAAATGTCAGACATGTGTTTAGTAATGGATTTAGATAACAAATGAAGAAAGTGTGCTGAATGGGCAGTAATGTATCGCAAAATACAAAATATTCATACACTATGAATATACTCATTTACAACAGAGCAAAAGAAGTAAAAGATCGTTCATCTATGTGACAAATGAGTTTTGTTGTTGTTGTTGTTTTTTGTTTGTCTTTCTTCTTTTTTTAAACTGTAACAAGATACCAAAAATAAAAAGATTTTGAGAGAGAAAAAAAAATAGCATTTCTGAGGCATAATGGACCTTTTAAGAAACAGTCCACATGGACTAACCAGTATATATTAAGAAGAACTTAAGTAAACTGTTGATGACTAACTATAACATTTTATATAATCATTCAATATCATTTAATGACAATGGGTTAATTGAATGAAAGATAATGGTAAAGAATTTGATTTATGTGAAATGTTTATAATTAGACAGGATGACTTTCATTTCTATAAATTAAGATTTAGTGGACTAGTTGAGATATAAAATTTCCCCATATCGTAAGCAAAAACAAGACCACTTTGATGTATACGGTGTGTAAATTTAATTCGTTCTCTTTACGAAAGATAGATATTCGGTGTAAATGACTGCTCGTGAACCTCTGATTAAAGTAGATTTT